CACTATGTATTTAAGACTGACCTGGAACCCATTATGTAGCCCAGGCTGGTCTTGAACTCACAGCGATCCTCCTGCCTCAGCCTCCCCAGTGCTTGGATTACAGGCGTGCACCACCACACCCGGCTTACTCATTCATTTTTTTATACAGAAAATTCAACTGAGTTTCATTGGCTTTTCTGAGGTAGGGAAAGCACAGCTTAGCAAGAATAATTCTGTGGGTGGCCGAAGCAGTGCACTCCAGATATATAACCTGCTGATAAACTTTAGATTGTTGGTGGAACAGACTGCTAATTACAATGTACCTTAATAAATGTATTTCCCTCAGCCAGGTTTATTGTTCAGGACAGGGATATGAATTGCAGATATTTTATGTAAATTTAAAGCTATGTGCTTCATCATTCATTTGAATAGAAGGCAGGCTGGACATCCATTTATGAAACGTAAGTAGGTTAATAAAGATACAATCTTCAAAAAAAAACTACCTGTGCCTATATTAAAGTGGGATGTGACCAGTAACAGAAGTAATCTTATTCTTAAAAATCAGTTGAGTGTGCCATGAAGTGAGTAATTAAATCTCCAGAATTTTAGGATAGAAGTGATGATGGACTTTGCACACAGGTCTTCTAATTTCAGTTTTAGTATTATCCCTCTTACCTGTGTCACCAAAGCACGAGGTGACAACTTGATCAAACAAGTAAGTTGGGAGTTCAGTTCTGAGATCAACTGAGGTAAAATTAATCAGCCCAACAAGTTTGAACTTGGCATCTTGGGATAACGTAAAAATGGGTGTTGGCGTCAAGGAACCTGAGAGCCTTTAAGCCTTTCTCTTATATGATAATAGCATTAGAGGTAGTAGTGATTGGAAAATTAGCAAAAGCACCTCAAATTTATTATTCTCCACGTACTAGCTGCAGTTGTTGTCACTGAATTCTCACAACATCCCAGGACCACTCAGGTTATAAATATAATACTTGAGTCCAGATTTAAATCCAGAGTGCAAAATTCTAAATGTTGTGGTATACTACCTCAAAATTTAATTACCTTAAGGTGTATATTGTCTGTCTTTTATATTTAGTTTTTTTTTTAATAACAAGCTCCATGGAAAGGGGAAATGAACAAGTTTGCTTATTTTCTCCAAACTTAAGAACTAGAGCTACACGGAATAGTTTCTCTGGTGTGAATAGACTGTACTAGTACATAAGATCCTAATGAGATAACTGACATTGTGAAATGGAAAGAAAAGGTCTAAAGGTGTAGGGAAAGTGGGAAGGGTAGGGGAAAAGTAATAAGGGAAAAAAATATGAGAAAATGGAAATAAAGTGTTTGTAAATGGGGAGGGAAGGAGGGGGTGAAGGGAGGGCAGGGACAAAGGGAAAAAATGAGAATCAAGACCTGTCATGTAAAGGTACAAGATCCCAATAATGAATGTAACTGTACTGTGTACCTAAAATGTACCAATAAACTCAATAAAAGAAAAAAAATTTAAAAAGAACTAGAGCTGAGCCTGTAGACAGTAATGAAGACTTGTAGTGTGTGGAGAAAGTAAACATAGGGAGTTAGATACAAAGATGCTTTTTATACATTCTTCACTTAAGGTGCTGATTAGCTGAAAGGCTTCTGTTCCTACTCTTACTGTTAAGTATCAAGTTCTGAACAATGGCTCACACTGTCCAGTCTGGTTTGGCGCTTCTGTGCACCTTGAGGAACTACTCTTTTTGCATTAGCAGAGCTGCTCAATTCTCAGATGCCTTGCAGCACCCTACTCAAGGATGTTGCATGTGTCTACTAAAACACTACCTTTCTGCTTAACTAACTCCTTTATATTTTATTTTTCAAATAAATTTTATTGTATATATTTGAGATTTGCAACATGATGCTATTGAACACATGCAGATAATAAAATTGTTGCTATAGTGAAACAGATTAACAGCTGTCATTTTCCATAGTTACATTTTTCTAGAAAAACAACTTTTTTCATCTTTCAGCTCCAAGACTTACACAGTGCCTGGCATATAGTAGTGCTCACTAAAAACAAAAACTATCCTTCTTTTTTTCAAATATTCTCAGTCAGTGAGAAGGTTCTACAGGATACTAGCAATCATTTTTGGAATCTGCATCTCATCCATACTGATAAAAATGGCACTTTGTACTTTTTAAAGTAGTTTTGTATACTTGTCTCATTTGCTCCTCAGCGAGTTAGTTGTAAACAGAGTGGGTACTATTACTTCCATTTTACATGCATTAATTTTTAAAATTATGTAAGCACCAAAATTATGTCATACACTGAACACTAGATGATAGGCCTAAAAATAGAAACACGTCAAAATTCTTATTTTTGAAGGAAAAATAATCAACGTCCTACATTGTGATCATTGCTGTAGTGGAATAATGTCAAGCTCCTGAGAAAGTAGCAATTTGTGTTGCTGTAGGGCATCAGAGTAGGCTTCATAAAGGAGATTATTATTTTTTAAAACTATGTCCTGAAGATGTGCATCAGTAGAGTGGGGTAGAAACTGGAAAACAGCTCTTTTGGCTCAAGAATGCAGTGATCAGACACACAGAAGATGGAGAAAAACGCAACTGTGTGGGAAATGGTGAGGAGCAGTGGGTTTATATCCTAGAAAGCCCAGGAATTGGGGAGCAGAATGAAATGAGCTTTTGAAAGTATTGGGGAAGGGTTATGAGAACCTTTTTTGGTTCATAGACAGTATGCTTTTACCCAGAACTGCAGCTTCTGTCTGACCTCTTCGCTCTTCCTTTCAGCAGAGACAGTTTCTGATAAGAGATGCTATTGTTTTCTATACGTTATTTTTTTCCCACAGTCAGTTGTTACAATTAGTTTACTTAATTACACTAATGGTAGTGATTAGCGCCTGTGAGTGTGATGGGTACAGCTGAAAAGCTCAGTGTAGAACCTCAATTCCTTTTCAGAAGATACTCATATGAACTGTTAGCAATTGGCCAGTGGCTGCTGTTTTTACTATAAAGAACATATGCTTTGGGTCTATTTCTTTGGCTCAGTTTAACTCAAAATTTCTCTATATTTATAGTTTTGCCTTTGGCTCTGCGTTCTAGAGACCCTCGACTAAGCTGCTAGGCATGAAAGCTTTTCTTCCTTCTGTTTCATTTTCTCATAGAAGAAGTGTGGTAGGTAGGGAAAGCTGAAGAATCTGCAGGTTTCTTTTATGGGCTGAATACCGTTCTTAGCTATAATGGCTTGCCTTCAGAGGGCCATAATTTTTCAGGCTAAGGATTTTCCACACAATTTGCGTGGGATGCCACAATGTGCTTGACGTTTCTTGGAAATTTCTATACCTTACCATTCAATTTTAACTTTATAATTTCTAAGTTCTTTATTATACATATATGTTTTTTATATCTCCCAGTACTTAATATTTTAGGATATTTTTCCTTTTGCAGTCATTGAAAAGCATAAGGTGATATTGTATAAACAAAGTACATTCATTTGAGAAATGTCAGATTAATCACAGTAATGTATTTACTGAAACAAAACTTAAGAATATTATATTGTCCATGGAAAAAACAGTAGTACAAAATGACAGACTTTTTTATTTGCAAAACTTCTCTTTCCATATTTACATGGAGTGTTTCTGTATAGTTTCCAAACAAATACTTATTTTTTAGAAGCTACCATCAGCTTTAAAGCCATGAACTCTGAATAAACTAGCCACTGTAGTCGTGACTGTTTCCTATTGACAGCATTTCAAATTACAGGCAATGATGTATTAATATTGCGTATTCATTAAATTGGAAGGTCTCACCCTTCATCTTTGACAGAGCCATATGTTTCAGAATTGAACATGTTGGAGGTTATTTGTCTTAGTTACATTTCACAGACTTTAAGATTCAGCGCATGTAAAGATGTCACATTTTCCATCCTGCATTTTGCATTACATGGATGTAGACTGACAAATGCTCTTGTTATCTAGGCGGGCTGGATAGTGCACGCCTGTAATCCCAGCTATCTGGGAAGCTGAGACCTGAGGATCACGTAAATCCGTGATCTTAAGATCATCCTAAGTAAACAAGTGAGACCCACCTCAGAAAAGGGGACAGAGAGGTCGAGGTAGAGAGAAGCAGCATTAGGTTGGAAGATAGAAATTGACTTGAAATTTTATTATTGAAGTTCATTCACTCCTTGAATATTCATTCCACACTTTACTTCAAAACAATTATGTGCCAGTTATTACATAGAGTCCGGGAAATTTTAAAAAATGGAATAAAAACATGCTTCTGCTCTCACAGAATGCAGATTGGGAAGGTAGCAAAAAGGCAAGTAGTATAGTAAGTGGTATGTGGCAGGGCATTCCAGGGCTGGTTACCCACCTTTCCAGCTCAAAGCACGTGACAAGGGAGAGCACGGTGAGAAGGTGGAAAGACATTCATTATAGGCAGAGTGCACTTTCTGGAGGGAGATGCAGAGGAAGGAGGAATAGCACGCGCCAGGAGAGGAGGCTGGAAAGATGGGTGCAAGCACGGTAGGGCCTGGGATACTAGCCTAGGAAATCTGGATTCAAACAAAGGGGAATAATACTTTCAGCACTTCATGAAAACAATTCTTTTCTTTTGGGTTTGTGTCTCGCTGCTGTCCAGGCTCCAGGCTGGCCTTGAACCCCTGGGCACAAGCCATCTCCCGCTTCTGCTTTCCAAGCAAGGGGGGACTACGGGCGCGTGCCACTGCACCTGGCTACAAATACAACTTTAAGAGGTTTTTAACATTGGAAGGCCATAAAAAGAAATTTAAACCAACTCTTGGGGTGACGAATAATAATGATATGAAGCCCAGAACGAAAGACAGTAACAGAAGGAATGAAAATGAGGTCTTAAAGCCATAGAAATTATTACTCATCTCCACACAGTCGAGAGATGGCTTTTCTTTCATATATCCCAGTTGCTGCTATTGTCCTTTGTTTTCTAAAGTGACACGTTGGAGGAGTATTTTCAAGTCTTTACCTTGTAAGAGACAATAGTGATGGTTCTGTTTTTGAGGACTGGAGCATTAAATTCAGAATCTGGATAATAGAGCCTATCTTTCAGGTGTGTTTCTTCAGCACTGTTGCTCTGTGTGCTACATACCATCTGCACTAATTATTAAACAGTGAACAAATGAGATTTGCCCAGGAGATTAGAGCTTTTTGTTCTCTCCTCAGTGTATTCCTAAAAACGTGGTGAATGTTCTCATTTTTGAAATATCAAGTCATAAAATCAAATCACTACAATGCCCGGCACCTAGTAACAGCACAATAAGTATTTGCCGAATACACGTATGAAATAAAAACCTAAGACAATCAAGTATTTATTGGATACTTCCTGGGAGCATGATACTAATATATTTCTTCAGGATATTGCTTCTTTGGAGAAATAGTGCAAGATAAATGTAATGGACAGTAAGTAGTACGATAACTCAAAAGAGGAGAAGATTTTCATGGGCTAGACCATTACAGAAAGGCTCCAAGAAATAGGGTGGATTACACGAAAGTCTAAGATTGATATTATTTATAAATTTGGAGAGGAAAAGAAGTTGAAGAACCAGTCACAGGTGGGAGCTTAGTGAGATGAACTACGCTGGGTCCGTTAATGTAGTACTTAATTTTACCATATGTTCTTTGTAATCCCTTGTGAATGTTTAATGCGATCTGTCTCTCACTGCTTTTCAGGGCAATGTTGGCCCTGTGGGACCAGTTGGACCTTCTGGAATTCCTGGCCCCATGGTATGCTGTTTGTAAAATGGATATTTGCATAGTGACTATTTCCCTTTATTCTTTCCACAGTGTCACAAAATGAAACCTTTTTTTTTTTCTTCTTTTTTTAGGGCCTTTCAGGAAGTAAGGGACTACCTGGAATCAAAGGTGATAAGGTGATTTAAATATTAACATTATCATAGAGATAATTTCTTACCATATTTGTCTTACTTCAAGTAGCAGAACTTATATTTTGTTTTTATTTGTAGGGTATAATTTGTACTATAAGGTATATTAGTTTTTAAAAGTGGGAAACATGGGGATATATAATTAGTATTTACTTCCTTATATTACGAGGTGTATAATGTATATGTATCTTCATATGAAACTGTTCTCTCTAGGGGGAACAAGGCAGCATAGGAGAGCAAGGAGAACCAGGATATCCTGGAGACAAGGTAAGTTTTAGACCATTAATTTTATGTAAACATTAAAATGCATACATTCAAAAGAAAGGAGTGTCCATCAGTGTGATTTTAAATTCTTGTTTAAAACCTTAGAAATACTTTCGTGGATGTTTTTAGAATGTTTCAAATGGAAATATATTTTCTTTTTGTGATGTAATAGCTTTCTTTTCTCTCTGCTGTTCTCTTAGGGCACTGTTGGTTTGCCAGGACCACCAGGGATAAGAGGAAAGCCAGGAACTTCAGTAGGTTTGAGCATTTACTTTGGTGTTTCTCATTAACAGACTGCCTTCCCCGCTACCCCCATGAGCCTAGACACTTGTCGAAGTTAGTAGGCTATAAGAAGTAGGCTATAAACCCACTAGTCTGGCTTTTTCTGTCTTCAATTTTAGAATATAGCTAACTTAACTCTTCAAGTTTTCAGCTCACACTCCAGAGACTTTTGGACCCTTTCCTACCACAAACCAAAGCCAGGTTTCTTTGAACCCTAAAGATCTTGGTTATGTTATTCCTCCCAATGATCTATGGCAGATAATACTTAAATTTAGCAGTGAGATTTTAAGCCAGAAAATAGAAAGCATCCTAAATAATATTTCAGTTTTGCCAAATATCAGTTTCTTTAAAGAAATACTCTGAAAAACAGATAGCATGTCTTGCTCTGTTGTGGGCCTAAATATTCTAATCTCTCCTTTTCTAACCCTTAGTTATCAATTAGTTAAAAGAAAAAAAGGTTCCTTATATTGTAGTTAACAGAAAACCTCCCAAATTATAAAACTAAAATTACTAATTAGAATCATTTAAATAAAGTGTTTAAAGCATGAGTCAAACATATATCACTATTAATAATAACAATTATTATTGTAACTAGCATTTAAGAGTGTCTATGAATTACAAAACAGTACTCTAGGGATGATATATTTAATTTAATACTATAATCCTATGAAGTTGGTACTATTATCATTCCTATTTTTTAACTTAAGGATATTGAAACACAGAGTGTTAAATAACCTATCCAAGGTCCAATTGATAGTTTGTGGCCACCTAGGAAATTCTGTAAGAGCTCTGTAAAAGCCAAGGCTTACAGTTTAATATTTTATGATGCTTTTTAAGATCCTAATATTGATTACAACCCTCTGATGGTAAAGGTGACTATAAATAGAAAAATCAGACATCATTAAAATGCATATTTAAAATGTTGTTTTTCCTAAACAATCTATCATGTTCTGTCTAACTGCACCCTCCTATCTCACAATTGCTTACTGTTGTGCCTTGGGAAGCACTATTAAATTTTAGTATTTTATGCACCCATTCGTGTGGCTTCTAACAGTGACTGGATATTAGACGCAGATTTCAGTTGTAGCAATTATTTAATCCGACAAACAGTTTCTGGTATGTAGCTGCCTGATGACATGTTGGTGGGAGTGACTTTTCCTTTTACTTATTTTTCACCCAGCTTACCTGGGTTTATGGTAAGTTAACCACTCAGCCATACACCCTAGATGTGTGGTCTAACATTGCATCCTAGAAACTCCAACGTGCATAAATAGGGCATGATAACAGGTTACGAAGCTAATTAATAAACAGCTTATATTTTTCACGGTTGATTTTAAACCAGATAGTTAGGGACTTCTGATATCAGCAGTGCTTGGCAAAGTAAGACCCTTACTTTTTATATTGTCATGTTTTTATAATATGAACTTTTTAACCCTTTGATAATTATAAGAGGAAATGATATAACACTATCTAAGCCTGATACTAATAAAAGATATCAGTATTATATCATGCTTTGTGATTAATTTCTTGAGAAAATTAGAGTCAAGTATTTTGCTACATTAAGTGAATTGCTTTAATGCTATTTACCCTTTAATTCAATTTATACTTATAACATTTTTGTGGACAGAAGAAACCAAAACAGCTTTAGAGATGGAGACTTGGATTCTAGTCCCACCTCTGACACTTGATCTGCTATAATTTGGGGCATTTAGTCACCATGGTATCCAGTTTAACACATGTTTAAAATGAAAGAAGGACTATCTCATGTTTAAGATTGCTTGTAGCTGTGACTCTAAGATAGTTTTCTTTCTTAGTAATACTTATTGCCAGTATTTCTTTAGTCCGAGTTAAAGGCAGAGAGCCTTTTACTTTTAATATATTATCATATTCTTTTTCCTAACACAAATCACAAGATATGCTAATGAAGTTCTTTTAGTGCAGGAAGCAAGAGATGATGAAAATGAGGCTTTACTTCCTCCTTTTATAACATTTTGCAGTGTTCTAACAAAATAATATTTTTAATATCAGCAGGAGTACTTTTGGTGGGAGATAACCATTTTTATTAGTTTTGTCAAAACTTTGAAAAATACATAGTTTGAGCTGAGAACAGGATAGGGACTCATTAATTAATATTAGTGAGATTAACTTGTCTGTGATCTCTGTACTTATTATTTGTATGTTATTAATACAAAAGATGTTCGGGGCCAGGGATTTAGCTCAGCATTTCCGCCGCCTGCCTTGCAAGCGCAAGGACCCGAGTTTGGTCCCCAGTACCGGGAAAAAAAGGAAAGAAAGAAAGAGAGAGAGAGAGAGAGGGAGGGAGGGAGGAAGGAAGGAAGATGTTCGACCTGGAAACCTTCCCTGGTTAGTGAGAAGACCCCTCTTTGGGGATAAGTTGCTTGTGCAGAATCCACTACCCTATTAAAAAACAAACTTGCACACTCAATTATTCAAGTCAGTGCCTATCGATAGCATTTGTTTACAGTCACAGGAAGAATGCTAAAGTCATAAGATGTTTTTTCTCTTTTATATGTCCTACTCTTAGTTTTCTGTCTTCTACGAGTTTGATAATAGGGATATAGATTCCAAATGGATCTAAATTGTAACAAATAAAATGTTCCCCAAATGTAACAATACCCTGATCTGGAAAGGTTGTAGATTCTGGAATAATAAAGCATTTTTTTCCCGCAAGTATTCAAAAAGTAAAGAAAAAAATTAATTGTTAGGAAATACTTTTTCATTGTGATGGATAACAAAGACAATTTTTATGTCCTTTCTGTTTTTAAGCTAGAAGTTTCTGTCATTCATAGAGGTTACTTAAAAATCAGTTTTATAAGGAAAATTGACATTTATAGGAAACTTGCAATTGAAGTTTTGGGAAACAAAAATTACTATGAAGAACATAAAGAATTATTCCACAATTTATGTTCATAAATACTGTGATTGTTAAAAGTTGTTCTAAAAGCAAAGGCTATTTTCCTTGGTGCTTGTAAAGTTAGTGTCTTGAGTGAATTTTGCCACTAGAGGGCAGCAGTGAGAACTCCCTCTTAGAGTTTGTGATTTTTAAAATTTAAGACTCCCTTACACATTGATTCTGACCAGTCATCATTTTTGTTTTTATTTATTTGAAAAGGTGAATGTAAGTGAGCCTTTGCATAGTATTACATTACCTTTCTCTAGAGTTGATTGCATTAGTCGTATTATATTGTCTTTCATCCTCACATACCTTAGCACTGAGAATGAATTAAATGCATATAGGAAACTGCTTTAGCTCTTAGAAAATGGGTAGTCTTATATTTTATCTTAAAATTTTACATTATCACCCATATTCAAATAAAATCTGAAGTTCATATAGAAATTAATATGAGAAAAATAATGAAATCAATAGTGTTTCTTTCATAAACAAATGTTATTAGACTACTAATCCTCTGGAGAGCATTGCAACCTTCTTGGCTTTCAGGCTTTGTAGTCATTTCTCTTCTCACCTTCTTCTCTAGCCCTGACTTCACATTTTTAATATGAATATTAGAAACCAGCGGGCCGGGGATTTCTCTCAGTGGTTCTGCCGCCTGCTTTGCAAGCGCAAAGACCTGAGTTCGATCCCCAGTACCAAAAAACAAAACAAAACAAAACACTTTGAAGAATTACAATTTAGGAATTTTAGGTATCAGCCAAGAGATGAGCAAGAGTATTAAAAAAGAAGATTAACGATTAAGATTAATTATGAAGCTGGTTAACAATGAGTACTTTCTAGATGTCAGGCACTGTGCTTGTAACTTTACCTGTTTTCTCTACTTAACTCTCCCAGTGACCCTATGAAAATTCCTCGTGGTTTGGGTCTAGAGTGGCTCCCAAAAGCCTTGTGTTCAGGGTAGGGCTTTTGGAAGATGAGCTCTATGGCTGACCTGCTGTTAGGAAGGGCGGGGGTGCTGGAAGGGGTCACGAGGCACGTGACCTGGAAGGATGTACCTCCCTCCCTTCTCTCCCGACTGCCCCGGGATGAGCAGACCCTTCCACCACGCTTTTCTTGCTTTACAGTCAGCCAGCTCAGAGACTGAGTTCTCTAAAAATCATGAGGCAAAATAAACCTCTCCTTTAAGTTTGTGTGCTGGGTATGGTGTCCCAGTTTTGAGAAAGTGACTAAGGCTGTTATTATCATTATCATTATTATTATTTTATTGATGAGAAAACTGAAGTTTAGCGAGAAGGATTGAATCTAGGTGTGTCTTAATTATTTCATCAGGCCATTTACAGTATCAGTGGGGGAGGAATTTTCAGAAACAGTTCTAGGATTCTGATTACTTATAAAAGCAGTTACTCGTGTAGAGTTCACTTGTTGAATCAAGCTTTATTGCTCTGTGTCTGGGATACACATAGACTTTTTTTCTTGATTTGAGCACTTACTTGATTAATTGGTTTATATCTCTAATAGTAGGAGTAAATATATGTTATGTCCATGAACATTTTATTTAAATAAATTTCACAGTGATGATAGTCAAGTAAGTCTGTGAAAAGTTATTATGATGTTGACTTCACATATTGAATGCTGTTTATGTACAAACTGTCTGTTTCCTTTTTAAATTATATTTATTAAGTTAATCTATAAGCTTAATTCTCTTATTCTCCTTTTAGGGTCAACCAGGTGACCAAGGATCCCAGGGGCCATCTGGCCCTCCAGGACCAGAGGTAAAATAACAACAGAAAGATAATAAATTAAATAGAAACAAAGCTTTGTAAATAAGGAGGGGAGGAGGGGTTGAAGAGAGTGGAGGAAAATAGAAAAAGAGAAATCGATACATCACGTACAGGTACAAATTCCCTATGATGAATGCGATCATTATGCATATCCAAATGGTACCAATACACTTAATGAAAAATAAAATCACAAAAAAATTAATTTGAATCTAAAATGAAGGTATACAACTGATCAGTGATACTAAGAAGATAGAAAATTGAGGATTCCACATCTGAAGGGCTCAGGACCATCTATGACCTTACCACCCTGAATGAACATGCTCGATCTCATCGGAAGGGCTCAGGACAGAAATGTTTTGTAATTCCTTTTCAGACTTTGGAAAACTTGCATAAATATAATGAGATATCTTGGGCATGGGAACCCACATCTAAACATGAAATTCCTTTCTACCTCATTGTACACATAGCCTGAAGGTAACTTTATATAACATTTTTTAGTGCCCTGAGGAGTCAGGTGTGGATTTTATAAATGTGGTGTCATGTCAAATCAAAAAATTTTGAGTTTTGGAATATTTCAGATTTCAGATTTTTAGACAAGGAGTAGTAAACCTGTAATGAGTACGATTTCATCCTGATGAGATCATCACTGATTTATTTGTTCTCTATAATAGCTATTACTAACATGTTTAGAGCTTGAACTCAAATTGTAGGATTATAAATTACCCTGAATTATTAATGCCAAAAATGCTTTCAATTATTGTTATGTGCATATATCATTTGGACTTTACATTATAAAACAAGTAGAATTAACTCTTTAGCAAATATGTCAAATTTGTTTGTATAGTTTAAAAATTTTTTGACCTTGGCTTTATGTTTCATAGAGCATAAAGAGCAGCTTCTTGTTCTGAAAGTACACATAGCTCATAAGCTTCTGAGATGAAATATTTGGATTATTTTGAATCATATTATGAATCAAAGATATACTATATGAGAGAAAACTTCTGAAGTTTACCCTACTTCTAGAAACGCACACCAAAAGTGTGTGTATATAGTTACGTGCACATTCACATTCACATAGAAATGCACACATACATCTAATTCAGAGTCCTACAGGCAGCAGCAAATCTGAGCACAGGACTTTAACCTCAGAACAAATAAATCATGACATTTACATCCCCACGGTGGCAGAAAAGTAGGCAGATATTCTAGGAAGTCTCTCTCTCTTTGTAAAATATAAGATTTACTTCTTACTCCCCAGCTTTCATTCAGTATTGCCTTATTCTTTAGTAAATTACTATTTCTACTTTTTTCTCTCTCATTGAGTTTATTGGTACATTTTGGGTATACAGTACAGTTGCATTCATCATTGGGATCTTGTGCCTTTATATGACAGGTCTTGGTTCTCATTTTTTCCCCTTGTCCCTGCCCTCCCTGTAAAAGCATCCCATATTGATAGTTCAACTTTATTGAGAGAGCAATAAGAGATATAAAACTGGCATATTTATTCATATCATAATTCTAAGTAGGAAATTGATTTCAGCAACTAAAACTTCAGATTCCTAAAAGTTTATGAGGCTTTATTCTGTTACTTTAATCATTTTAGTGAACTTTTCTGCAACAAATAATATTTACATCTTCTCACACTGAGAGTTTAACTTTCATTGTCTCTAAAGATTGTAATTATGACTGTGAATGTTGTAACTGCAGTTACAGTAGTCTGCCCCTGGGAAAGGGCTGTGTTGCTTCCTCGACTCTGTAGTATTGGATCATTTTCTTCTTTCTCATTAAGCTTGGGTGAAGGATGAATGAGCCATGTTTTTATTTACTACTTGTTCTTCTAGAGATGTTTCCTTTTACATTTTATGATTTGCCCTCAGCATTCAACACATTGTCTCATTGTCTTTGATTTCTGCACTACTGATAGGAGGTGCTAATCCCCAGTCTAGTAAGACTAAATCCATTCTTTCTATTCACTGGTATTTAATTTTTTTCATGGACCTCAAGATGTAACCTGTACTCTCTCATGAATTGGTACAAGATTGTTTGGGGAAATGAGGCATAAAGATCATAAATTCTAGCTCTTAGCAATATAGTGTGTAGGCAATATTTTTATACCAGTTCTTCTCAATCTTAGGCTTTTAATTGAATTACAGGTTCAGTCATTTAAAATAGTATGTTTAACAGTATATCTAAACTAATGCTTCTACTTATATAGCAGATGAATTCTCTCATGTACACAAGGTCTCTTAATGTGTTGTGTTAAATTTAGACTTTAACCTGTAGGCAATAACCAAAGAGTTCTAATCATGAGATTAGGATTATGGGGGTTATTGGGTTTTATGAGACACACACACTTTATGAGACACACTAGGCTTTATGTGATAGATCATTAAGGAAAGAGAAGTAGAGGTGATAAGGAGACTAATTACATTGCTTAGAAGGATAATGTTTACAGCAGTGGTGAAGTTTTTCTGCCAATAGAGAAAAAGATGGCTTCAAGAAAGAATTAGGAAACACAACTCACAACACTTAACTGTTCAGATCAGCTTGTTCAGTTTATGGGAGAGAGGAATTAAAACAATTATGATATGTTTTCCTTAAATAATGTGGATTACCACCTAACATAATACAAAGTAGAAGGAGGAAATCAGGGTGTTTGGAAATAATGCCTTAGGTTCTTATCTGTTAGGATTGAAATGCTTGTAGTACAAAAGAATTAACCTACTGAGTATATAAAAGCCGTAGGCCTGATGGTCAGACAAAGGTGGACTAGGAGTATATATTTAAGCAGTTATTCGACATAGAACTATTAGGTGGAGCAATTGTAACAGATAAAAGCATTTAGGGAGGGTTCATGATACAGATTTATAAATACTACACTTCATACCCCCTGAACTCTGCACTCTTTGTATACAGGATAATAAAGTTTTAAGTTAATAAAAAGGCAATAAAAAAATCTTGATAACATGGTCCAGAGAAGAAAAAAATTACGGTTTATATTAGAAAATTTTTAGAACTGAATTAGAACAAGTCACTGTAAGACAACGGCTAAAGCAACACAGGCAAATTCAAAGATAAATGTATTTCTCTCAAATGCAAGGAAGAATTTTAAAATGAGTTATATAGAATATACTATGGGGGTTTGTTTCAAAAAAGTGAAGACATTAAAAGAGGTCAAATAAAATAGAGTTTAGGTATAAGTAGGAGGCTGTATCCCCAAAATAAGAGGAATGTGGAAGAGAGTTTGAGAAGTTCCATGAAAAACAAACAAACCCAACAATGAATGTAACTGTACTATATCCCTAAAATGTACCAATAAAGTCAATTAAAGCTGAAAAAAACAAACAAACAAACAAAAAATACGAAGAAGTGCAATCAGGGACCCATAAAATAATTTGAGCTGTGTCAGGGTCAAGACTTGAAAGACTTTTGCCTAAATAGAGTCACAAAGATCTGTAGCATTTGGTAGCAAGCGGATTGCAGACTTGAATTCAAATTTTCTACTATACAAAGCAATTAAATATTGTAAGTTATTCATCTCCTCTCTCTTGGCTAAATACATATTCATTGTTCAAAGGAGAAGACACGCCCATCTTATTAAGGCTTTGTGATTTCCATTTTGCAACGTAGACTGATTTCACAGTGCAAAAGTATAATTTAGTACGAGTAATTCTATTAGGGGCCAAAATGATGAGACAGGCCTAGGTATATAATTCCATAATAGCTTTTGTTAATTATTAGATGATAAAGTGTTTAATTTAATATGAAAAATAAAGGTATTTAGAATTAATATATTCTGAATCAAAATTGAGGCATTAGCTCAATTACCTTGAACAAATGCGTTAAACTGTCTCGGCCTTTCCTGGTCCATAAAATGAAAATATTAATAGTTCTAACCTCTTAAAGTTTCTGTACTATGTATATAAAAATGTTGCAGTGACCAGTTAAGTATTAACTGCTGCCAGCACCACCATCACCATAGACAGAGTGATGCCAATTATAAAATTGTGGTTTCAACCTTCGCTGGTTTTCATTCTCACCTGAGGAACTGAAGATACAGATACTTAGTTCCGTTCCAGAGGTACTGCATCAGAATATCTTAGGAGTGCTCTATGCGTTATAAACAGCAATGATTAAAAACCATGTTTTGTTCTTTATGGCAAAGGACTTTTTTCCAACAGAATGAAAACATTTTCAAACCAGTAAGATATGACATCGCAGGAGTCAGAATATTTCCCCACTTTCTGCCTGGAAATAGTTGTCTGATTATGTGGTTTAGTAACCTTAGAACATTATTACTACCACTTACTGCAGTATAGCATGGCACAGAGATAGCATCTATAAATGTTTTAAATATAAAGTAACAAAAGAAAACCACTAATAAGCTTTGTTATGAAATTTTTCCAGTTAACATTTAATTTGCACAAGAACTGGAACAGACACAGAAGCCAGCTGAATAGCCTTTCAAGGGTGAATTTGACCCAAAAGTACTTTTATAGTACCAAGAACCTGTGGAAAAGCCTGAGTCAACATTTGGAGAAAAGCAAGAAACTAAGAACATAGTCTAATGGAATTTATTTGGATACAGGAGTATTCCTAGGCATAAAAAGTTTTGCTACCAGGACTCAGAAAGACCTGTCCTTCCTTCTTGTTATGGGAGCATATAAAACTTTATACTTGCTTTTACCTTCAGAGGGGATATTCCAGGACATAGTTGGCCACTGGTATCCTGAAATTCAGAGAGGTATCCATCCATGATTCTTTCTAGACTTTATTCTCATCGTGTGGAATGGATGCGTCACGCCAAGTCTTCCTTTGGGGTAGCCGTTACTTGTTCATCTTATTCGATCAGCATGGTATCTTATGTATTCAGTGGGTTGGAGTGATGTTGTGCAGCATGCCCTGAAGGTCCAGATCTCTTTAAATTATATGATTATGACAGAGGCAGGAGAACACAGGAAAGCTGTAAGTAATTCTCGTCTATCTCAGGT